AAAAAACCGAAAAAAGGCGGGAAATTTTTTTACAAGGTAATGATAATTGTCAAAAAAAGGATTTGTTTTTAGTATAGGTTAATAGATTAGGTTATATTGTATATTATAGTCGTAAAAACTCAAAAGTCGTCAGAGAACAATTTTCCACTTCCTCTGATAAACAGTTCGTCATGATTTATAATATATACTCTCACTAGTAGTATTTTTCAAAAATTTATCTATGTTTTTTTTTTTTTTTTGACATCAGCAACAATTTATCTATGTACATAAGATATAACTATAGGATGCACAGTCCAAAATTGATGATTTAATTTTGTAATGTTGAATAATATCTTCGATCTAATACCATTGACTGAAATAAAGTCAAAAGAAAGTTTATACTCATAATCATAAAGTATACTTTGTAGATGTCAAGGTAGTCAATTGTCCGTATGGTTTCACATTGGTTCAAAACCTGTCTAAAATGTTGAAATTTACATTGTACACTAGGGTACACCTGGATGAAAATTGTCATTTAAAAAAAAAAAAAAACAGCTTCCTAAATTTATGTTCCTTAATTGAAGGATTTTTGTTATTTACTTTCCAGAGTTTTAGCTTTCTATATCCATAATTGTTCATAATCAGTTTTTGAAAAAATAGAGAATTTTTAGAGAGAAAATAAAATTTAAAGAGAAAGAAATAAAAAATTTTAGAGAGAAAATGATGGCTCATGGTGAATTTCGTCACAGTCTTTGATTGTCGATTTGCACTTGATGATCACCAAATTGATATTTTTGACAATTGATATTTAATTTTAGATTTTGTCACCAAAAGAGAATGTAGTTTTTTATTATTTTTTCAATTTTATTTCATAATTTTGTTGTTGATGATGATGTTTTTAGATTACTATATTTGTTCATGGATCATTGTTAACGAATTCATCACTGAAAGAAAATGTAAATTTTTTTTTAATTATTTTAGTTTTTTTTTTTTTTTTTTTTTAATTTGTGTTATTTTTAGAGGTTGAAGATGAAGTTATCAATTTTTTTCATCCATATTTTTTGGAATAAACACGTTCATTGAGTTTAATTAATATGTTTTTTAGTCACAAACTATGTTATTTGGATTTGAACTATATGTTCTTTATGTTACAAACTATGTTCATTTAATTGCGTATTTTTTTTTCAAAATAAATATCATCTAATAAATGTATATTTTTTGAAACTAGGATCATAAAGGTTCGTTGATGAAGACGATATACTTTTGGGACCTCTTCTATTGATGATTGATTTTCCGATAGATCTATAGAATATTCGCTATATTAATAAATAACATGATAATATTATTTAAAGAGCATTATTTATATTTACCCAGCATATAAAAACAAAATATAGAGAACATTTCACAATAAGTAATGAACATTGTGTCATGTGTGACAATAAAGGTACATTAAAATTACAATAAAAGAACATGGACATTTAAAAATCATATAATGAACATTATAATAGATACACATGACCAAGATGAATATTATAACAATATATAAATATATATAATTGGTTATTTAGAGAATTTTTTTAAAAAAGAAAGAGAGCAGAATAAAAAATATTGGAATTTGAAATTTTAAAAATGAATTTCAAATTTTAAAATTTGAAATTTTAAAATGAAATTTTGATAAAAATAATTTTAGAGAGAGAAATTATAGAAAACTGAATATTTTGAAATGTTTTTTTTTTTTTAATTTTTGAAACAGAATATTTTGAAATGATTTGACATTAAATACATGATAAAAGTCAATTGGTTATCTTTTACCTAATTTAAAAACTGTTTCACCAAAATTATTACGTTCTTTATATTTCAATGTTGTGTTTAGACCTAGCAAACGGGTCGTTCGGGTCGGGTCAATTCGGGTCAGATCAATCAATATTCGGTTAAATCGGGTCAATCCGGGTTTCAGGTGAGTTTGGGGTCAATGATTATTTGGGTCGAGTATCGAGTCAACACTTTGGGTCGGGTCGAGTTCGGGTCGGGTTGAGTTCGGGTCGGGTCAGTCTTCGGGTCCAAATGTTGGGTCAAGTTCGGGTCGGGTCAATTCGAATCGGGTCAATCTTCGAGTACAATTGCCGAGTCAAGTTATGATCGGGTCATGTTTGGGTCGAAACTTTAATTTGGTCAAGGCATCAAGCTCAAGTAGTTAAATTTATTATTGTTATTGTTATAGTTACTATATACTACGTGTGTTTTTAATAAGAAATATAAATCTAAGTGTCAACATCATTAACAATGATTGCCGAGAGTTATTACAATATGTCAATATTATTGTTTCATTTTGAGTATCGGTTATTTTTTATTCGGGTCATTTTGGGTATAGTTCGTGTTGCTTCGGGTTTATTCGGGTTAATCAATTCGTGTTAAGATCGGGTCGAGTCACTTTGGGTTTCAGGTTATTTCGGGTCGGGTCGCTACGGGTTTCGAGTCAACTTCAGGTCGGGTCAATTTGGGTTTCGGATCAATTCGGGTCAGGTCAAGTTCGGGTTAACTCCACTTCGGGTCGGGTCAATTTCGGGTTACGGGTCGGGTCATTCGGTTCGGGTTAGGATTGCCAGGTCTGGTTGTGTTCTTTTATAAAGTCATGATATTCATTACAAATATAAATTATGTTTTGCTTTTTTTTTTTTTAAACTAGTTTTAATCTGGATGTAGCATGCGCATGGTACACTCGGGTGTACAAACCAATGCAAAGATAAGTACCAGTCCTAATATTTATAAAATCCGAACGTTTAAAATAAAGAATAAAGTGGAGATGCGATGTACCTTTCTTCTTCTTCCCTAGGCACAAAACTCCAACATCACCATAGAAGTAATTAAAGAAGCAAATAAAGGTGGTTTAATTTCTTTGAACAACACACACACTAAGACATGGGCAGTCTTGTACAACCTTGCAACTTCCTCTTCCTCCTCCTTTTGCTGGTAATATTTACTTCGTATTTTCTAGCTTCTCATTTTTTCATATACAAGTAATCTTTTTTTTTCTTCATTTTTGAACTTTATTTATTTTTCAAAAGTCTTAACTTAAATTGAGACACATAATTTATTTTCTATGCAAACACTCCATTAATTTATATGTTTTAAATAAATATTAGCTATCTCATGAAAAAAAAAAACTTATTTTACGATATTACGTGGTTATCACTATAATTTCATAAAATTATGGCATCTTGGATTCTTGATGTGTGTGTTTTCTTCTTATTTTTTATATTTTTCATCCTCCAACTTTATTTTAATTTTTTTTTAAAATGTATTTCGTTCTAATATTATGATAATTATTGAATATTTTGCAGAGCATGATCCATGGAAATCTTGGCAGAAAAATAGCAAACCATGTTCATGATGATGATCAACATATTCATGCCCATACATCATCATCATCATCTAGCATGGATCACATGGAAATATCATGGAACATATTCTTTCACATTGAAGACCTAAAACTAGGTAAAAAAATCCCATTATATTTTCCCATAAAAAACTCATCTTTTACTCCTCACATAATATCTAAACAAGAATCAAATTTAATCCCTTTTTCATCTACCCAAATTCCGAAAATACTCGACTTTTTCTCATTTTCTCAAGATTCACCTCAAGCTAAGGCCATAAAACACACCCTTATGCATTGTGAAACCCCTCCTTTAAAAGGTGAGACCAAATTTTGTGCTACCTCTTTAGAATCTATGCTTGATAATTTAAGCCTAATCTTCGGGTTAGGCAAAAAATTCTAGGTTTTGACAACTACAAAGACAAAAAATTTGATCCCTATTTTACAAAACTATACAATTTTGGAAGATCCTAAGGAAATTGTTGCAACAAAAATGGTAGGGTGTCACCCTGTGCCTTACCCTTATGCAGTGTACTATTGTCATGGGCAAGTGAGTGATAATAGGTTGTTTGAGATCTCACTTGAGGGTCAGGAGGATAGGCAGAGAATTGAAGCTGTTGCAATCTGCCACATGGATACTTCTCAGTGGGACCCACGCCACGTCTCGTTTCGTGTGCTCGGGATCGAGCCCGGGGCTGCCCCTGTGTGCCATGTGTTCCCTCAAGATAATCTAGTATGGGTTTCATCCCATAGCTCTGCTACTTAGTGTAGTGTATGTAGTGTGTGAAATTAAGAGCATCTATGTGTTTTTAAGTAATGTGGGCTGAAATTGGTTCTTGTAAATCTTGTGTTTAGTAGCAGTTGAAGTTTGTATGTATCTTCATGACTGTATGGGCTTTAGCCTATTATGAGGATTTAATCTCCTATCTATTAAATTAATTTGTCAATATGTAAATTTGTTGAGTGTTATCGCTAAATTTGTACAAGAAGCTCCATTTCAATAGCCTCAATTATCCAAAGGGAGCTATGTTTTTCTTGATCAGTGTAATTTCAATGTGTCTGATTGTATTCTTGCTCCTTGAATTATCATTTACATTGCAATGTTCTAACATAAATCAATAAACATCAAATTAGATTAGAAATCCTTTTTCTTGGATATTAAGTGTAAAGTTGACAATTTTTGACACAACTTACTGATAAAAATTAAATCACTCAAGAATTTGGTGGGGAAGATCAAACCCAACAATTTACCACAATGAATATAGCCCGAAGTCAATACTTAATTTAAAACGCTCTTATAACAGTTGGCAGTTCTACAACTTTAACTCTTATAAAACTACATTTTGGATTGATTTATATGCAACATAAAATTGACTCAAATCCAAGCATAGCTAAGGTTAGGCTTGGGTCAATTGGCTCATATCCACAAGCTATGCTGGTAGTCTAGTGACTTAACGATCTGTACCTAAACACAACATTTGATATCATCATTCGTTTCCATTAAAAGATTCATGACGAAAGGTTGGCTAAACCCTTAATGAAAGTCGTAACTAATTTTCGAACATGATATCCATACACGACCCATGCCCATCGACATACCACTCGTATAGGCTTATATAATGGCTCGGCCCATGTCCAACTGTTTACCCACCCCAATCCAAAAGAGTTACACCTTCCAAAACCCAAAAACATCACCATTCATCGAGAACATCTGTATAGCAGAGTCGTCTTCTTCACTAACACCTTCTTTCTCTCTCTTCTACTCACTCACTCTTCCAAGCACCCAGAAATCACAAAAATGGTGGCAGCTTCAATTTCAACCTATTTTACTTGTTCTTCAATTGCTTCTCAGAAAACTAAAACCTCGCCATTTCCATTGCTCTCCCAAAGGTATCTTTAATTTCACCCCAATTTAAATTTATAGCATTTTAATTTTTTTATTTTTTTAATATAGTTTCTAATTCATTGATTTACAATTGCAGAAGCTCGAATAAATCGATTGTTTCTGTATTATCCAATTACTCCAGTGATTATTCATCTATTTCTGGTAATTTAATTTCTTACAATCTACAAATTTATCTTTTCAATTTTTTTTTTCCGAAATTTGAAATGTTTGAGGATGATTTTTATTTGTTACTGAAACGTATAATTAGACTGCTTAGCTGTGATATTTTCTTGCATTATAGTTTTCTGAATTGATTGAAAAAGTATGAATTTGCTGTTAGTATTGCTGTGGGTATGAATTGGATGACTGCTTATTTTTTTAGCTTTTAGTTGGTGTTATATGTTAATTTAGGCATCTAGTTTTTTTTCGCAAATTGAATGGAAATCTGAATTAGAATATCATGATTGATTTGTGGGATTGCCCAATTTATAAAGAGAGGGGATTTGGAAATGGAAATGTAGTGACATTAGGGTTAGAGAAATTTGAAGAGGAGTATGCCATTGAATACCCTTGTTTGTGAATGCCATTGAATACCCTTGTTTGTGATCTCTCAAGTATGAATGGGGTTTTTATGGAAATAGGAATAATTGTTTGGGAGGAGACTAAGCTGAACCATTTCAGGAAAGATAAACTTATCTACCAGCAATAGATGAATGACAAATACGAGAAACCCCCCCCCCCCCCCCCCAACAGCTCTGTTGGTAGCCAATATAGATAGCGGTTATGAGAATAGATTCAATTGTAATTTGGCAAGCAAAATTACATCATAATGTCCTTAGTAATTCTATCTCATCCTCAAACTTGTGTTATTCTGTAAAAATATCTACCACCTAATATCACCACAGATGCTAATGGATGGTAATGAAAAATTGTATATATAAAAAAAAGCTAATCTAGGATGAACTAGTATTACCATGGGAATGAACCTTAATTTTTCTTACAGATTGGCTAATTCATTCTCATTACCACCATTTAGTTCTACCTGACAAACGAGTTGTAAGTGACTAAGTGGTCTATTTGTATTGCCTTTTTTTTCCTGGTATGCCTATTGCCTTCAAAGAAGAAATGTGGGTGAAGTTGCTGATGGTGTGTTGTACTTCTCTCTAAGTTGAGCTTGACTTTGTATGTTTAAGCTGCGATGTCATTACCATTGCAGGATTATCTAGTAAAAGCATTGGTCTGCCTTTGAAGCCCGATCAATCTGGTCAGTACAATTCAACTTTAAGGTATGTTGCTTTTCTAGTTAAGATAATTTATCCATTTGTCAATTTGAATCAATATTTCTTTTATCTGGAAACAAAGAACTCTGCAAGAATTCAGAAAGAAAAATTTGCAGACTTTAATTTATCTGTTAAACAATGTATTATTGTACTAGTATACCACATTTGCATATTGTGTTATTGTAATTATTAGCATTTGATATAGATTCTTGGATAGGGAAATAGGGGGGGGGGGGGGAGGGGGTTGTGGTGATGTACCATTGAAATGATCTAATCTTCAACCATATGGGTTCCTGCTTAAGTGATTTAGAGTTACACTCAATAGCAGCAGAAGGAAAGGAGTTAGGTCTCTTTTATCGTTGTTAGTTTCTAAGTACAATGTTCTATATATGAGTGGACAATAACTGATGGAATAACCTTATTTTATTTATTGCTGTATTTTTTGATTGACTATTGCCTTGATAGTTACATTCTTCCCTCATACTCTTCTACTTTGTGCCAGCAATGGGCCTATAGAAGCCAGAAAGGGTAATCCACCTGTATTGCCTGCTGTAATGACACCAGGGGGACCTTTGGACCTTTCTAGCGTTTTATTCAGGAACCGGATCATATTTATTGGGCAACCAGTGAATTCTCAGGTGGCTCAACGTGTTATATCTCAGCTAGTAACTTTGGCAACTATTGACGAAAATTCTGACATACTGGTATTCTTTTCAATAGCTCACGTGTTCTTCCCTTCCCATATCAATCTTTGCATCAAGGTTCAGGGCTGAGAATTTTTGTGGCTGATGGGTATCTCACCCACCTTTTCAGATGTATTTAAACTGCCCTGGTGGAAGCACATATTCCGTGTTAGGGATTTATGACTGCATGTCTTGGGTAAGCTGTCTAAGATTATTTTGCAGTTGTTGGGGGCAAGGGCGGGGGTATATTTGGTTTTATGCACAATGTGAAAGAGAGATGGGGTAGTATTGGATTCAGAATCTTTTTGCTGGTTCCTGGGGGTTCATATCAGTAAAAGAATACTGGAAAGCTTCTGTTAACAATGGTATTTTCACTTTCAGATAAAGCCAAAAGTTGGACAGTTTGTTTTGGTGTAGCTGCAAGTCAAGGTGCACTTCTCCTTGCTGGTGGAGAAAAGGGGATGCGTTATGCGATGCCAAATTCACGTGTTATGATCCATCAACCACAGAGTGGATGTGGGGTATGTGTTTAATTCTCATATTATACCGTGTTGATGCAGCAAATTATACAAGTGGTTCTGGTTTAATATGTTGCATATGAGAGCTTGATCTTTGCATGTATCTTGTAGGGTCACGTTGAGGACGTCAGGCGTCAAGTGAATGAAGCAGTTCAGTCTCGCCATGTTAGTCTCAGTCTCTATTCCTCATTTGTTTTAAGCAAGCATAACTATTAAAGTCATTACTCAGCATTTACATTGAACTTCTGTACTGATGGACGCAGTGAAGCATGTGTTGGGGGCTAGACACGCATCTTATATGATTTATAAGTATTTGTAAATGTTCTTATGAGTTTACTGCTTTACAGTGTGGTATACTGAGTCTAGTTCTGATCAAAACTTTCTTCCTTGTGGATGTATTGCAGAAAATTGACAAGATGTATGCTGCATTCACTGGTCAACCACTTGAAAAAGTACAGCAATACACAGAGAGAGATCGTTTCTTATCTGTTACAGAGGTAACGTCAAGCAATTATACTGTTGGATATGTGGGCTTCTTAAATGTTCCTCTCTACTTGAAAAAAAGCTCCTCTAATTTTTGCAATAATAAAAACATTGTTGCATACTAAGAGAATAGCAATTGTCTCATTGCTTGCAAACTATAAACTTGTGCTTAAAAAGCAAACAAAGTTCAGTGCAAACCTTTGCATATAAAGAGCCATTTTAAGCTATTTATAACATGTACTTGCAGTTTTTGTCCATCATCCCAGATTCTGGAATTTAGTAAAAATATTTCACAAAATTTATATTTCTCACCTGTATTAAGAATTTACTTCATCCTTTCCTCGCACCAGTTTGGCAGAAAAAAGTGCTTAATGAGTGGGATCATGCTATCCATTTTGCATGATCTTCACAGTACACACTGATATCAGCAAATTTTGGTCTGAACTCACATTGAATTTTTAGGTCATCACTCGTGATTTCAGAGGTGGAAAATCCATAAGCCTTTCTTTAATGTTCCATTACCCAATCTATTTTTTGCAGAGACGGATCTTGTGTGTGTGTGTGTTTTGTTAATTATGCTGATTTTGATATTCTAAAAAGTCTTCATAAGTGCCTTTCTTTGGCTTATCGGCAAGATTTTGTCCTTTGTTTATATTCCTCCCTTCCTTGTGCAGGCGATGGAGTTTGGTCTTATAGATGGCATTTTGGAAACAGAGTATTGAGGATGCTGCGTATGACATGTTGCAATCATTTCATGGATGCATCTTTCTTATAGCTGTTGTACGAAGTATCGTTCACTAGTTGTCCAATACTAATTTTGTTGCGTTGCAATCTCAGCTTAACTAATTAAGTTGCAACATTGTAATTGGAAGGGACATGGTTGTTGTCCTTGTATATCTTCAAAGAGGATTTATATTCAATTTTTTTGAAAATCAAATGGTAAATTGCAGGCAAGTAATGTTCCAATTGATTTTGTTTTGCTGAACAGAAACTCTACAGATCCAAATTCTGCTTCTAGCAGGAATGGTTTCCGATTAGAGAGGGAGAGGTGCAGGCAATTTGTTGCTTTTACAAGTTTTGTTTAGCACAAGGTCAAAATATAAGAAATATCACCTTACTATATAAATGGTATGACTGATAAAACGTTTCTATAACAAGAAACTATTGCAATGATTTTCATCATGATAAACTATTGCAATAACAAGTCTGTTCATAAATTATAGTTCAAGATGAGCCTTTTCATGGACGTGCACGTTCATAAACAAATCAATTTCAATCAATTTACAACCTTGTGCCAAACTCACAAGAGCTTTAAGAAGTACAAAATGATTGCCTCCCTACAAACAGGGACCAACTTTCTTATTTTGGGGGCTGTGGGAGGAGATAACAATTCATGTATTTAAGAATCTCCCTCCCCATAAGAATGTCGTGGTATAGTGTTAAGCTTACTCATACATCCATATAGTGTTCTGGCATGTTTAAAATGCTTCTCCTTTTATCTATCGATCAGTAGCACTTCTGGTGTATATGCTATGTACCTGAGAATAGAGTAAAAGACAGTAGCCAAGATATCAGAAACAATGCTGTACAGCATGTGAAGTAAAGCACGACGAATCCATTCTCAAAATCTGAACATTGAACCAGCCAAATAGTTGAATATTGAAAGCTTTGCTGATGGAGAAATGTGTAATCTCAAGCCTTCACACATTATAACAGCCATCAATAATTTTTCATGTTATGAATAGCAGAACCCTTGACGGTATAGAAGAAAGTGTAGTAATTATTTTTGCTTATCTACTCATCTTTACACATAACAGGGGGCGCCCTTTTCAGTTTCTGAATGTTTAACAAGTAAATGATAATGGAACAAACAATTTACATAAAGACTTACCATAGTTTTGGCGAACTGTAGTGAATCTGTAAATGGCCTTGATTAAGGAACCGTATTTCTTAGATTTCAAATTTCCCATATGTCTACAACAGAAAAAGAAAGCCTCAATGTAAAACATCCACTGTAAATGTATGGTCAAAGCAAGACACAAGAAGCATAACTACAGAAGATAGGCCCTAACAATAGGGCAATGGAATGCACTAGGCAACCAAATTTAATATGGAGACACAGCGTACAACTAACAATTTCAATGTGCTAAGAAAATCTCCTGTACAGAGTAACCTGATGTCAAGAAATGAAAATTGGATTACGAAGAAAGAAAATAAGAGGGAAAAAAATTTACAACCAGTGTGGTTCAAGAAACAGTGACATTTACTATTTTTTGAAGGGGTGACATTTACTTGTGAGAGCCTTTAACCTTTCAAACCTTGTCCATGACAAACTGTGTCCTTTGTTTTAATTTTTTGTTTACTGCTGTGTTAGCTAGTCCAAAAAAATTGTGCTTACAACGCAAGGTTATAATGGTTCACACTTCCAAAAGATTTACTCACACAATCTCAGTATAGCTTAATCTCCACGGTGGAAAGCCAAGATGACATCTTGCAGGTCCGTAAATTAAAAGTAGATCAGGTTCGGGACCAGAACAACCTGCTCATAGAAATAAATTGAATAAGGAATTTACTTTAAGAGACTAAATAGTTGTCAAATTCTGAAAAAAAACCTTCAAAGAAAACATTCTGAAAAATAGACAAACCAACTAGTTGTAAAGCCTCGTCAATGATTGGTTCAGTAAATTTTGTCTTGTCTCCATTACCATCCTTATACTTTGAAAAAAGCAAATTTGCTGCTTTAACTACACCTTCTTTCCCATCAGAGACTGAAATAAACTCCAAAATCAACTGACTAGGCTTTAGGACAGCTTCATCTGTTTCAACTGCCTGCAAAAATAGGATAACTTTTTCAGCGAAACCTCCCGCAGAACTAACAGCAAAAAAAGGATCTATCATAATCTGATGGGAGTAAATGCAAGTTTATGATTCAACCATCTTCCTATTAAGATAAATCCATTAATTATATGCAAACCCAAACTACTCTCTGTTACATAACTCTGTAGCAAACATGCACAAAAGCTTGTCTGGTTAGGATCACATAAGAAGAATTGATACCTTCCGTGGTCTTGCATTGCATTCATCTATGATGGTCTCCTGTGATTCCTTCAACACCCCTAAACAACAGAACCTCAGGCAAACTGATACAGACAATTTTGGAGGGTTGGGGGGTAATTCAACATCTATCTATAGATCACCACAATTTTACCTTCCATATCATAAAGACAAACATGCTTCACTCCAATAGCAGTCACCCAATGCAAAAGCTCAATAACTTCTGAAATCTGGTACGCTTCTTCACTTTCAATCACAATAGCCAGGTATTTCACCTTACTTGGATCTAAATATCTGTATTTCTTAAAAAATCCACAAGTGATAAGGTAGCTTTCAAGAGTGTAATATACATCGTTTACCCAGTACCATATTGTCACCAAAAAATGTAGAATATTCCACAGTAGTATAGCAGCAAATCTAGTAACCTGCAAAGGCACATGATGATACACATCAGACACATGAAAGAAATTACAAATAAGCATATGTGACACCCTGGTCATAACTTGTGTGCAGGCACAAAAAACACGAAAGACACAGTAGTTAGTTAGGTCAATTCAAGTTTTGTTAAAAAAAGACTTTGCAAGTTAGAAATCAGAAAAATATTCCTAAAATAAGTATCACATGCCTCAAGAATTACTGTTTCTATGGACCTGTAGATTATCTATTCACAATCAGCCTAGCTCAACATGTCTAATTGAGTTGCCTATATCTGATACATGAGAGAAAATGTATCCTTTCCAAACAATACAATACATGATTCTGTCAGCTAATATTTGCATTGCATTGCAGATGAGAGTTATCCACTCCATGCCCACCAACATAATCCGTAAACTTTTAAAATTTTCATAGAGCATAACTCCATGCCCAACCTGCATGCAATACTACAGAATCTTAGGCACTCCAGGATTATAGAATTCAGACTCTTACCTTCAAAGGCCTAATATAATCCACCAATTAAATTGAACAACCTCAAACAAGTTTGAGTTTACACTACCCAAGACCTATAGAATTTCCAGATCTCTTTCTTGTTCTATAGTTGCTTTCACTATCGGAGCTAACTCAAGTTCACTATAAGATATAAGTTCAAAACAGCTTCGCCAAGAGTAAATTTTTTCTCCAGTTCTAACACAATTCACTAACCTGCATCTCGTAAGAGACTAAAGTTTTCACAGCATTATTGGCATTTCATTCATAGCTAATCTAAAATCCCTCTCAACAATCAGACACTTATATCTTCAAGTCAATGGATGTAACTAAGTTTAGGGCAAAAATTCATTAATTTGTTGCATAAGTCGGAACAAGAAGTTTTTCTTCCATGAATTTGACAACTCCAACACCAACACTGAATAACAACATTAAAGCAAACAAAACTTAAGCAACAGATTAAGTTCATAGCAACATAAAACAATGGTTTCCGAAAGGGTTAGTTCTCACCTTGGTCATCCAATATGAACGCAAGTACCTTTCTCTAAAATCCATTAATCTGCAATTTCAACAAGACATCAAATATTTCAATATTCAATAAGAAAGAAGAGCCGATAAACAATTCCACAGTACAATAACCCAAGGAAAGAGCAAGTATTTCGCTAAGGAGGACAAGAAAACATTAAGAAATTAAACTTCAACACACAAATAACAAACACAACCAGAAAGTCAGGAAGTGTGTGAAGAGCTTTAGCATGATATTTTCCTATACCTGTCTAGAAATCCTCTTTTTTCTTCCTTTCTTAATAGGACATATACTTTGTATGATTCCCGTTTTTTTATCTCTCTAGAATTTAGGTCTACCATAGACACCCCTACTTCCCTACCTAATAATTAGAACTGTTGTCTCCCAAATAATCACCATCATTTTGAAAATCCATCAATCATTTGCAGTTTTTATACATCTTAAACTAAAATCTGAGTTACTAAGCATAATCTATAGTTTAACACAATAATAGACTCTTGATTCTAAAATACTACCAGATGTACCAATAGTTTAATATGATCACCCTAACATAGTAAGCAAAACTTCCACTTTCCAAGAAAATCACCATCGTTTAGGGATTAAATCAATAATTTAGACTTTTAATACATCTTAAACTCAAATCACATCGTAATTGGTTCATGATTTTTTCATTTAGCTATTCAACAATGGTGAGCCCCATACCTCTCATCTCCCCATTTCTCTCCTACTCTGACTAACGTACTAAAAATTAAAAATTCCCTCGATTTTTTTTTTGAAGAAGAAAAAAAATCCCTCGATTATAAAAGTGAAAGATTTAGCTATAGATGCAGTTACTCAGTTAGACATGAATTTTTCACAATCAACTCAATTTCACAATCAAAAGTCATAACCCACAAATAGAAGCATATCAACCAAAAATTAAAAAAAAACCAGGCAATAGTCGTACAAAAAAAATGTATTGTACAATAAAGTTTTGATTTTTAGTTGATCAATCAATCTAAGGAAAAGAGAAAGTCGGAAATTTTGACAGAAAATTAAACAAAACAAAAAAAAATATTAATCACATAACTTTGAAGTACAAAATTCAATCTCGTAGCATTCTAATTGAAAAACAAAAATATCAAGAAAGTTGAGAATACCAACCGATGATGAACAGTTTGCGAAGTCATGATGATGATTATTGCGCCGAGAAGTGGTGGCGACGACAGTCAACGTGTAATCGATGGCGTTGGAAATTCGGGTGGACTGGTACAGTGGAGTGACTAAAGTTGTACTAGACTTGAGAAAAAAATGATGACAAATACAATGGAACCTAATTTAATATTTTGATAAACCACCTCGAGGGCAAAATTGGCATATTTTATGGCCAGAACATGTAGAAGAGTGAAAATTTTAATGTACACCCGGTACCCACCTGTATCTTGCTTGGTACAGACAAAAAACGCGGAAAGAACATATAGCTGTTTTGTAAATAACATATAGTTGTTTTGTAAAGAATATCCAATTTATGTTTTTTTTTTATTATTTATTTTTATTTTATATATA